ATGGCCTGCTTTCCCGGCACGATGCCGTGGAAAGGCGCCTTGGTCGGCCGGATGCGCGATCGGTCGATGCCCATGGCATCAAGTGTCTCTGCGTACATGTTGTTGAGGTCGCTGCCCCCGTCCATCAGTACCTTGGTGAGCCGCTTCGTGCTGACGATAGGGTCGACCACGAGCAGGTACCTGCCTAGGTGTGTGACGCTATCCGGGTGGTCGGATCGGTCGAAGGTTATGGGAGACCCTGACCATTTAAGGAAAGCAGGCGTGGCGGGCTCGATTTCATAGACCTCTCGGCGCACGAGCTTCTGTTAGTGCTTGGAGCCGTATGCCTCTGGCCCAATGAAGATCATGATGCAGCCATTCGGCGTCGTCGGCTTCTGCCTCGGGCTTCTTCTTCTGCTCCCATTTCTTGGAGCCGCTAGTGAAGAAACGCTTCATGGGGGAGCAATCCTTGTACATGTGTTTGACAGGGAAAGCATGGTTTGGGCATGGTCCCTCGAGCAGCTTGTCGAAGTGATCGAGGGTGCCCTCGGCCGACGCTCGACCGGATTTTCGCTCGGCGGCGGCCACGAGCGAGCCCCCGTACCCATTCCAGTTCTTCTTATTTGAACGGTCGGAGGGGCCTTCATCGGCGTCCTCGTCCCGCTTCGCCTTGCCTATGGAGCGATCGAAAATTACTCCAACAGCCTCCTCTCTGGAAGCATGGCTGGTCGCGAGGCTGGTCGCGATGTCGAGGAGTTCCTTGGTAGTCCATGGCACTTACGTCCCAACTTATGGACCAGGGACTCACAGGTGGTCCCTGTTAGGAAGGCTCCGATGACATCGGTATCAGCGACATTGGGGAGCTCGTTGCACCGCCGGGAGAAGCATCGGATGTACTCATGGAGAGTCTCTCCCGACTTCTGTCGACTGTTCTTCAAGTCCCAGGGGTTCCCAGGGCGCGCGTAAGTGCCCTGGAAGTTCCTCACGAAGATTTGTTTCAAGTCCACCCAACTCTGAACACAGTTGAGTGGAAGATGCTCCAGCCATGTTCGCGCCGAGTCGGCCAGAAACAGGGGGAGATTGCGGATGATGAAGTCATCACCGACCGCACCACCGGCTCGGCAGGCGAGCCGGTAGTCTTCGAGCCACAAGCCAGGGTTCGTTTCCCCAGAGTACTTCGGGATGTTAGTCGGTGGGCGGTATCGGGGCAAGAGTGCCGCCTTGAGGATATGCCAACCAAAGGCCTGGGGCCCCGTTGGTTTGGGGCTATGACTCCGGTCCTACTTGCGGTCATAGCGTCCGCCCCATCGAGGGTGGTAACCGTGGCTGGCCCCCTCCCCCGCAGCGTTACGGGTACGTTGGCAGGCGTTGAGGGTGTCGCGCGCGTCACGGTTGCGGCCGAGATGCTCCTGCACCGAAACCATGATGCGTGGCCTACCGCCGTGCGGCGCCTGGTGGACTAATGCGTCCTTGTCGAGTCGCACTAAGGGCGTGCGGTGGCTTGCGTCGAGCTCCCGTCGCCGAGATAGCGAGCTCTCGGCCTGCTGCGCAGCTGCACACTCGAGCAGCGTGCGAATCTCGTGGTGGGCCCGTTGATCCTCGGGCGTCACAGGCCCCAGAAGCCCCCTGAGCAAGGCTGCCACGACAGCGATGTTCTGGCTTGCCCAGGTGAAGGGCGGGAGCGCTTGATCGTCCTCGACGATCTTTCGGTTCACATCACGGGTCATGGCGTGTGCGAGCCCCCCCCGTCTCCATGGCGCTCGATCTCGCGATCGAGCTCCGCGCGTTCTTGCTTGAGCTGGAGTTGCGCTTCCTCAAGCTCTAGGTGCCGGGCCTTCAGCTGCTCCACCCGCAGGCGGGGTGGGGCTCCTACATCCCCCTCGACCTCGTCGTCGAGGTCATTCATCGGGGTAGCCTTCTCCTCGTGGATGCTTTCGACGTGTCCCTCGGGGGTACCTGTCATGAAGCATTCACAAGAGGGGTGATGGCTCCCCCTGCTAGAGTCAGAGCTAGAGGGCGACTCCGGCTCCTCTACCAGGAGGTCATGGAAAGAGTCCGTGACATGTTCGATCACCCCATGAACTCGTCATTCGTGGGGGATGGAATCATGCGTTGCACCACAAGGTGGCCAACGGTCTCTGCGGCGTTGCGGAGACCGAACGGGAGCACTGTCGGAGCGCTCCGGATGAGGTATTCTGGGGAGAGCGGCTCTCCCCCGGTAAGCTACGCCATGACATTGGCGAACGAGAAGGTGAGGTGGCGTAGGCCCTCCCAGGATGGTTAGGGTCCCAGGAAGACTCCGAGCTAGCGCTCCAATCTCTCATAGTCGAAGTCGAGGAGCTGGCCGCTCCCGGGGGCGCAGGCCTCCGGCGCACACAGTCGCAGCTCCTCGAGCGCCTCGGTGATCGCATCGAGGCCGGTGGAGTGGAGGGGTTGAACGACGACGGGCGCCCGCGCCAGCTCTCCCTCCACCGTGACGATGAAGTCCAGGACCCTGAAGCGCACGTGTGCGCCTGGGACCCAGCGGATGTCGTGACTAGCCATCCGAGGCCTGGTGTTGATGTTGAGACGCGCAAAAGGACCCCTACCTGGCGCGCCAACTATCGGTGTTTCGAGTAGCCGACTAGTAAATTTGTATATTACGCGTCTGGCTCGGATGGTGTGCTAAGAGGACACAAGGATTATACTGGTTTGGGCCGAATGTCTCTACATCCAGTTTTGGGCTGCTCGTGTTTCCAGCACTGAGTTTATAGTAGGGGGTTACAAAGTGATGAGAGGGAGGAGCTCCCAAGTCTCTGTGGTTCGATTGCTCGATATTTCTATGGCTCGATCTATCGGTCGAATGATCCCCCTGAACGATAGCCCGCCTTCCCTTTTATAGACTAAGGGGAGAGAACAGGATACCAGAGACCGAGAGAAGGGAAGAGGGAAAAAAGAAAGAGAAATAAGGCTCCCGGGGGTTTGCTGTCCTCCTCTTCACGTGGGTCCCGCTGACCCTGTAGATCGTGGTGGCAGCGGCGTCACACCGGGGTCCTGTTGGCCGTTGTACCATACGTGCGGGCGTCGTGCGCCGTTCTTGTCTTCCATCCCATCCGAGCGGATGGAATGGTCAAAGTGTCCCCTGACAGAGGCCATACGGGGGGCTGGCGGTACAGTGCCAGTCAACTAACGCCGGTCGACTGGCGTTGGATGGTGGTTAGGTAGGGAGTTGGCAGCACAGTGCTGGCCTGTTGACGCGGTGGGCGACTTGAGTCTCCTAGCATTGCCTGATGCGAACGCCAGTCGCATCAGGACACGGCTGAGACGTGCTCCCGGACGTGTTTGCCTCCACGCCGTAGTGGTTGAAGCGGTTCGGGTCCCACCCTGGGGCCACTGCTTTTGTCCGATACCAAATCCGACCCCCAGGGAACGGGCGAGACGGAAATCTCGCCCTGGGGGCCGGGCGAGACGGAATCCGACCCTCGGGGGTCGGACGAAGCGGAGCCCTCCCTGTGGGACCGGACAAGTTGGAGCCCGCGCCTTGGGGTCGGACGAGGCGGAAACCTCGTCCTCGGAGTCGGAGCCCACGCCTTGGGGTCGGACGAGGCGGAAACCTCGTCCTCGAAGTTGGACGAGGCGTGGCCCGTCCCCTGGGGGTCGGGGACGAGGCCACAGTTGCGTCTTTAACCATCGGATGAGCCGACGTGACGCTTGTTAATCCTTTGGCTCGGATACCCGGATATAGATATCCGACAATATTCTTATGCCAATTCACCATGGAAAAAAATCACTTCATCTATAAAAGCATGCTCATGTTAGTCTTTTAATTGAATTAACACTCCCAATGATTACATGGAAGTGTCACGCTAGAGTTTGTAAATAAGATTGTAGCTAGCTTTACTCCTGGCCACTATTTTTAAATTTCCTCCCCGCTTTTTTTAGTTTGGAAATAGTGCAATTAGAATGGGGAACAGAATTTGTCCCACAAAGAATATTGTGGTCTTATAGTCAACCAATGCTTTCGATTGGTTTTCATTGAGCTTGGGCAGCAGATTATTTTTTTTTCTAAGGTTTATGCTATGTACTGCCTACTTGAGTCCTATGCACCTAGCATGCATTTGTGAATGGAGCTTGAAGCCATGGGAACTTGCTACTTTAATCTTGTCAGGGTTTACAATAGCTGTTTGTTACTTTTACTCATTTATTTATGTCATAAATTGTTGACAGCTAGCGGAAAGGTATTAGTTTATGAAGGTAACTTGATTTCCAAATTGTTTGCAGACCTCCTGCATGTTTTTTCATACCTACCGAAGGATCTCAACTTCATTCAGCATACTAGCTATATTGGTTGGAAGGAGTATGTGCATGTTATGTGGCTGGAGGATTGAGAGGGAGAGGCTACCCGTGGAGCTACAGTGAAGCGGGTACTGTTCATGACCCTAATTGTGGCGGCTGGGGCTGCGAGGGAGGCTGGAGGCCGGCCGGGGGCCTTGCCCACGGCTGAGCAAGAGGGAAGGGATTTCCTTCTTAATTCTTGCTTGATTAGATCGATACATCTCCTCTCCTTATATAGAGAGGTTTACTCGACTCCCAAGAAAGGCTTACTTGACCCTTAAGTAAGCGACCCTTATCTCTAATTAACCCTAACACTAATGGGCTATACAGCCAACCCAGGCCCAATAGGCCCCTGACGTACTCTAACACTACACCCCCACCTGGACATGCAGCTCGTCCTCGAGCTGCAACCTAGCAAACTTATAACGCTGACTCGACTCCTAACACATAAAAACAAGTCTTTTACATCTTGGCTTATTTTATTATTCTCAACCTAAAATAAACTGGGACTCTTTATTTTTGACTCTGAACGTAAGGTGAACACCATCCGCACGCCAAACCTGCATGTGTACAGCCTCCTGGGTCCCATGGACACCATCTAGACGAAAGGGGTACATGTGTATGGCCACCTGGAAGTGGTCGCAACAGCGACCATGCGACGGCGCTACGCGGTGCGCTCTCGCTGGTGACCCCGCGCCTTCTCCCCTCTAGACGGCTGCTGGTCTGCACCGCACAGAGAAGAGCGGAGGGCTTTCGATGGAGAACGAGGTGGAGGGATGCGCCTCCCCAACCGCCGCCCGCAGGGAAAATAGCATGCCCGCCGCCCGTGGGGGTAACCGCATGCCCGAGATCCCCGATGCAGCAGACGAGATCGAGGTCCTCCGCACAGCGAAGCGCAACTTGGAGGAGCTGCGAGGAGTGCAGGGCTGAATCAGCTGCAGATCGCGCATCTCCCGCACCCGCCGACGTGCTAGGAGGCCGCGCGTAGCAGCCTGCAGCCGCACCGCAGCCGACACCTGGAGGGTAAGCATCTTCCCCGCCAAAGTCATCGCGATGTCCATCGGCTGCTCGATCTGCTGCAACTTCTCGCCCGTGACTAGGAGCTATTGGGCGTCGGTTATGGAGACGACTGTCGTCCCATAGCCTGGCCAGCCGTAGTGCGAGGCGAGGAAGGCCCTGATGCCCGCCACGGCCTGCCCTAATTTCAGGATTGCGGCCGTCATCTGCTCCGGGGTGAGGACGAGGGCGGACGGCGCCGGGGCAGAGGGCGCAATCGCCCCTGAGGACGCCAGCGCGCCCAATGCCGGTGCTCCTGCTGTGTGGGGTAGCAGCGCCGACGAAGAAGCTGGTGGCGGCGGGTGGGTGTGCGGCGGCGGCGGGTGGAAAGAACTTGGTAGAGGGCTGAACATGATCGAACCAGAGATCTCTGATACCAGATTGTTATGTGGCTGGAGGATTGAGAGGGAGAGGCGGCGACGGTTGGGCTACAGTGAAGCGGGTACTGTTCATGACCCTAATTGTGGCGGCTGGGGCTGCGAGGGAGGCTGAAGGCCGGCCGGGGGCCTTGCCCACGGCCGAGCAAGAGGGAAGGGATTTCCTTCTTAATTCTTGCTTGATTAGATCGATACACCCCTCTCCTTATATAGAGAGGTTTATTTGACTCCCAAACAAGGGTTACTTGACCCTTAAGTAAGCGACCCTTATCTCTAATTAACCCTAACACCAATGGGCTATACAGCCAACCCAGGCTCAATAGGCCCCTGACGTACTCTAACAGTGCACTTTATCATTTTTGGTTCTAGTCTCTCAATTTAGGGCTGGAAGTTATTTACATTGTCTGTCTGTCTCTGCATCCAGGGAAAGACAAATAAGGCCAATCATCGTTGATCCTGGTCTATATCTCTCATCCAGGAATGACATTTTTTATGCCACCCAAAAGCATGATCTACCAAATGCTTATAAACTGTTTACAGGTGAGGGAGTACTGTCTTTAATCTATCACTACCGCATGACTCACAATCCAAGGGTTAGGCGTGGAAGCACTCCCCATATTTTTTTTTCTCTTTATTTGTCAGTACATAATGTTAGAACAATATAGAATAAAATGCTTTATAATGCCAATAGTCAAGTGATACACAGTTGACCTAGAACAGTGGTGACACGGTCCAATTTTTCTGTTGTTGATGCCTTTCGTGAACATGTAAATATAAACTACCACTGTTGTGACCTAAAAAATCATTGCACTCATTTTTCTGAAACTTAGCCACAAATATACACAAGGGATATTTAGATTTATAATCTGGAAATTTCATCATTAGATTTTTCACCAAGTAATGCCCAAGGTTTGCATCGTCCAAAATGGTAATTAAGTGAAAATATTTTGGGGTGGGCATGGGTTTGTTACCAGTTAACTTTCTTACGTTGATTATCATTCTATCGGCTAGGGCTATGATAGCTAAGATTCTACTGGTTTGTTTGGTATGATGCACATGGTCATTGTTAATTAACAAGATCATTTAATTCTTTAAGTGCTCTTCTTGTTGATGTAAACTGTGGTCACTAATTCAATTAAGTTATAGATTTGAAGGCTGGCCATTTGAACTTTTAAAATGGAAGATCAATGTAGGTAGGACACAGGGTATTAGGGATCCTTCAGTAAGCTGGTCATTTGGTTTGCTGACCATATATATCCCTATTTAACTAAATGAAATGTCACCATTTCGATTTTTTAGCTGCCTTGTCTATTTCGGTAGAAGGGCATGATGGGAACTCTGGGTGGTCTATATACATCTTTGCATGGTGCTTTACTTCATGGTAATATTCAAGCAAATTCTGGCATTTGTCGGACTAGCATATTGAAAATAGGACTGTATTTGAACACTGCAATTTCTGTAATTTATTGAATATTGGTACACAATGTTTTTTATTAATCCTTTCACTAAGCCTTACTCTTGGGACACTTGCAGATAAACCTTATGTTTTTGTGGCAATTCAAAGTATTCATAAACTAAGAAATTGGATGGCGATATGTATTCTATATTCATAGCTGATTTGCAAACTTACTGGAAAGAAATTTGAGTTGTATCATGTTTCTTGGCTCGTGGCACATAACCCTGGAATTCATTGTTGTATGATTTGAAAAGATCCCACCATATCCTATTCATGCCCAAACTGGTGTCTGTCCCACTTGCAACCCCACTTTGTCTTAGTCGCAAAAATTTTGTTGACCAATCATGGAAAAGAAAATGAATTTTTGCAGGCCATAACTTGGTGCCTGCTTTGCATAATCAATTATGGCCGGGTTTAGAACTGTATCACCATAAGACTTTGGTCCTTGGGCTATGTAACATTAGTCATGAAATGCACCGATTTCTACAAGACTTCAACTATGTCCACAGAACCTTGACATCTTATGATAATATGTTTAACTCAACATTAACAGCTGTTTATGTATTCGAAACGGCCTATGCTCTTATTATTTTCCATGTATTGCTTGTGTGTGTTTTTTTGGTGCTGTTACTGTTTTAGAATAATTTCTAACTAACTTCACTCTTATATACAAGAGCTTACCGACATGCTATTGTCCGTAGATATATATAGCATCATATTTTTAAGATTGAATTTCTTGGCTCATGGCACATAACCCAGGAATTTATGGTTGTATGATTTGAAAAAGGTCCCACCATATCCCAATCACACCAAGACTGGTGTGTCAGTCCCACTTGCAGCTCCACTGTCTTAGTTGCCTAATTCTTTTGACTAGACAAAGTGGACAAGAAATGATTTTTTGCAGGTAGGAATGTCACACCAGCTTTGGCGTGATTGGGTTATGGTCTAGTTTTAGAACTGTGCCACCATAAGACCTTGGGCTTTGTAACATTATCCATGAAATGCAGCAATTTCTACAAGACTTCAAGTCTTCAACTATGTCCATACTCCATAGAGCCTTGACATCTTCTGAATTAATAATATGTTTAATTCTAACTACCGTTTATGTATTCAAAATGCCCTATGCTTTTATTATTTTCCATATATTGTTTGTGTTTTTTTCCTTGTGTCACTGTTTAAGAATAATTTCTAAGCAACTTACTATTCTATACAAGAGCTTATCAGTGTGTGCTATTGTCTGTAGATATAGCATTGTATTTCTAAGATTGAATTTCTTGGCTCATGGCACATAACCCAGGAATTTATGTTGTATGATTTGAAAAAGGCCCCACCGTATGCCAATCATGCCAAGACTGGTGTGTCGGTCCCACTTGCAACCCCACTTTGTCTTAGTCGCCAAAGTTTTGTTGACTAGACAACGTGGACCAGAAAATGATATTTTTGCAGGTTGAAATGTCACGCCAGCTTTGGCGTAATTGGGTTATGCCTGGGATTTAGAACTGTATCAGTAATAAAAATCTAAGCAACTTTACTGTTCTATAGAAGACAGTGTTCTATTGTCCATAGATATAGCATCACATTTCTAAGATTGAATTTCTCGGCTCATGGCACATAACCCAGGAATTTATGTTGTATGATTTGAAAAAGGCCCCACTGTATCCCAATCACGCTAAGACTAGTGTGTCGGTCCCACTTGCAACCCTACTCTGTCTTAGTTGCCAAAATTTGTTGACTAGACAACGTAGACAGGAAAATGATTTTTTGCAGGTCGGAACATCACACCAGCTTTGGCATAATTGGGGTACAGCCGGGTTTTAGGTACCACCATAAGACCTTGGGCTAGTGTAACATTAGTCATGAAATGCACCAATTTCTACTAGACTTCAATTAATGGCACAGAACTTGGACATCTTTTGAAATAATGCTATGTTAACTCCAACATTAACTACCGTTTATGTATTCAAATTGCCCCATGCTTTTATTATATTTTGTATATTGCTTGTGCGTTTTAGATTTTTTTCTGGTGTTGTTAATATGGTATCAGAGCTAGAGGTGTCGAGTTCGAATCCTGGTTAGCGCAATAAAATAAAATAATTGTTGCTCGCTCCTATTCCACGCCTCCACATGGGGGGGGGGGTTGGAATATAGGTTAATTGTCCACCTCTCCCCATCAGCTCAAGCTTTTGGGTTGAATTGGTTGGTGCATGCAACTTAATAACATTATTAAGATTGAATTTCTTGGCTCTTGGCACATGACCTAGGAACTTATGGTTGTATGAATTGAAAAAGGCCCCACTGCACGCCAATACTGGTGTGTCAGTCCCACTTGAAGCCTCGGTCTGTCTTAGTCGCCAATATGTTGACTAGATAGACAACGTGGACAAGAAAAAGGTTTTGCAGGTCAGAGTGTCATGCCTGTTTTGGCGTAATTATGGCTGGGTATTAGAACTGCTGCATCATCACTAGACCTTGGGCTATGTAACATTAGTCATGAAATTCACCAATTTCTACAAGACTTCAACTATGGCCATAGAACTGGACATCTTTTGAAATAATACTATGTTTAACTCAAACTTTACCCGTTTATGTATTCAAAATGCCCCATGCCTTTATTATTTTCCATATATTACTTTTGTGTTTGGGATTTTTTTCTGGTGTTACTTTGTTAGGTTCATTTCTAAGAAAATTTACTCTTCTACTCAAGATCTTACCAGAATGCTGTTATTTATAGATATAGTATCATGTTTTTAAGATCAAATTTCTTGGCTCAAGTCAAATAACCCTAGAATTTGTTGTTGTATAATGTTGAAAAAAAACTCGACCTGTAGAGGGTAAGACAGCCCCCGGGCATTGCATTAAGAAGAAGACCTTCTCACAGGTCAAGAAAACCCCCGAACCCCTGCCCCACTCATACACAGTGGCACCGTAGCCCATGTGAGAACGACCACGATCAGGGCCAGGTCTTAGACCTGTGCTTTGGCGTGGGACAAACGAGGAGAGTTTTTTTTGACCCTAGCCTAAAAATTCATTCTCATGGGAAGTCAAACTCAGCACATGAGGAGTGCTACTCAGACCACCTAACCAACTCAGCTGGAGGCCCTTTTGCATAAGTTTGAAAAACATATCCTAAGGAGGTCAAGGCTGATTTGGCAGTCCCACC